CTCTAAGCTACTTCTTATGAGGTCCTTAATTTTATTGCATTTAAACTTCTTTTCTCTTAGCCTTGAGTTTGTTACTTTTCATAGTATTTGTTGTTACAAGAGAGCACTGGAATTTCTAAAACCAGCACAGTGACTAGAAGTGCCTCGGGGTGCCTGTGCCACAGCCCTCATGGTGCTCACTTAACTGGAGTATCTCAAGCTTCTTCATATTTGAGGGAAAACTGTCATGGACACTACAAACCGCAGTGGCATTACTTCATTCTCTGTCCCTGGCCACTGCCACTTCACAGGACTTCAGATCTTTCTTATTTCCTTTGGTGGACATGGGTCAGAGTGTTTGGACATGACAAACAGCCAGAATGAAACAAACGCGGTGGCCGGATAACCCACCAGAACCAAATACAGTAACAAGATCACCAACCATCTTAGTAGTATCTTCAAATTACTAAGTTGTTACTTTGTTACAGGGTGCTCAGCAAAATGTCCCTCCAATACCTTACATCAAAATATTACAATGGGATGCTTATTAAAAGATCTTTAAAGGAAAAACTGAGAGGAATGTGTGGTAATAAAACAGAAAAAAATACTTTCCCAATAAGATTAAGCATTTTTATTATTCTCTGTGGGTGAGAATGTAGAGTTTTAGTTGTATAAGCATAGCTTTTAACTTCTTCTACCTTCACTTTGCCAGTTTATCTCTATTGTCAATCAGCATTTCAGAATTATTTTCTAGCTGTCACCCACATTTATATTTTTATCAGAAAACTTATTTTCAGATTGTGGATAGCGACATGCTCACTGTCAATAAAAAACAAAAACAGTAACTCCACGTCTTTCTGTGGTAACTTTATTCCATGGAAATTCCTGGTTGCATTTTGTTCTTCAACATCATGCAACCCCCTGGGCTTCCTTCATCAGATAACCGTTTGGATTACTCATTGATTGGTCTCTGTTGTCGGTACTAGACTGCAGGCACTTAAAGGACACAGACTGTGCACGCCGCTACACATCTTTACCCCATTGTGTCCTTTGAAATGCCAGGAACTCTGAAGTTGTTTAATAAAAATCACTTTGATTGATTTTCACCTTTGCAGCCTTGGCAGTGGTGGGGGAGTGGGGACAGGTGCCATTTCCTTTGACTTTAAGATGGTCAAACATTCCTGGAGCAGAGATTAAGAGCCATGTCTTCAGCTTCCAAGCCCAGTGCTGCACGTTAGCTTATGGAGGGCTTCTTCCTGAAATCTCCCTGAATGCTGAGGTGAATGAGATGCACAGTTGGTGGGGGCCTGGGCAACTGTCTTAGAGCCAGATGGAGTTTAAAAACATATACATTTTGTCTAAAAAAAAAGAATTCTGTAAACATTACATTGTATCTGTTATATTATTTGAACATAAAAGTGACACTGCATATATGTGTATCCACACACACACGCATACACACACACATGCACACACATACATGCATACACACACATATGCACACACACATGCATACACACATGCACACACACATGCATGCATACACACATGCATGTACACACATGCATACACACAGGCATGCATACACGCACATGCATGCATACACGCACATGCATGCATACATGCATGCATACACACATGCATGCACACACATGCATGCATGCACACATGCATGCATACATACATGCATGCATACACACATGCATGTACACACATACATACACACATATGCATGCATACACACATGCATGCATACACACACATGCATGCATACACACACACACACA